ACCTACGACAAAGAACTATATTATATATATATATATATACACACACACACACACACACAGAGTATAAGTTTTAAACAAACAATTTAATACTGGGACACAGTGATGATGATTGTGAAGCTTGGTTGCGGTGGAGGAATCAGAGGATGGGATATTTCCCAGGGAATACCTTACTGCTAAATGAATTAGCAATTGACTGAGCCCTCAAGGGTTAACTCTCACAACACTCTACAAGGCAGCAGGAAAGGAGGGAGGGCAGACAGAGACACACACCCTGTGTGTGAGAGAAAGCATGCACATTTCCCCTTTAAGTAGCTGACCGCAGGCTTAAGTACACTGCCTTGTTAATTAAATCAGCTTGCTGAGACCTGAGACCCGCAGCTACTGCCTAGAAGCTCCCTCCATCCATCTGTGTCCCCCCTGCTCTATGGAAGATGGGGTAAGCGGGGTGCAGGAGCAGGGGGGAGGGGGAGACACCCTGACATTAGCCCTCCTTTCCCCCCCTCCGGCCCGGTACAGAAAGCAGGAGTCTCTGGGAGCAGCTCCAAGGCAGAGGGCAGGAGCAGCACATGGCAGTGGGGGGAGGGACAGCTGCTGCACAGGGAACTTAGGGGAGTGGGGAGCGGATAGGGGGGCTGCTGGTCCACCCTGGGTCCAACCACCCACCAGCTAGCTGCAATGGGCTGCTCTTCCTGCAAGCAGTGGACAAAACTGGCGGCTGCCAAACGACTAGAAGGGAGCATTTCACAACTTTAAACGAGCATGTTCCCTAATTGATCAGCAACTTAACATCGAAACAACGTTAACCGGGACGACTTTAAGTGAGGAGTTCCTGTACCATGAGTGTGTGAAAGAAAATGTACTCAGTTAGGGTCTCACCTTCGCCATCTGGACTGCATTGGGGAACTCATTCAGACAAGAAATGGGGATCAGGTCGTGTTTGGTACCAGTTCGAGTCCTGCCACAAACCAAAAAAAGAAGAGAACAAATGATAAAGGGAAATGCAAACAACATCTCTGGCTTAAGGCAACTCCTGCCGCACCTCCAGATCTCTTCTTATGGAGGGAATATTGTTCTTGCATAATATTCTGGTCCAGCGACTAAAGGGTTAATTAGATCCCAAAAGGGTTGTACATGTGCTACGCTAGAGTCTATGTAACTAGTGCCTAATGTCACAGGAAGATGGACACTGTTTAGGGTTCCTGTAGCCCAGTGCTTGGTATTAATTGAGCAAAAAGAAAACAGAGCTGGTTAGGTGGCTACGTGGATCTCCATCACTCCTTAGAGACCTTTTTTGCTTTAATAACAGTTAAGTATATTGCAAAGGAAATCCAGGTGCTGCTTCAACACAGAAGGGAATATTTTGGGACACCAATGGGATTCAAAACCATTACTCCCATACACAAAACTAACTGCACTAGCCCTAAGGTCATCCTCATAGGTCAGGCAGCATAACTCCCTTCTATCTGGCTTTGGCTGGCCTGCCAACAGCATGCCAGAGTCCCATTAGGAAGGGGTGCTGCATAGAACCCTCTTCCAACTAGCCACCAGCACTTTCCTATGTGTGTGTCTGTGCTCAATGAAAATATTCCCTGGTACAGCTCAGAGGGCTTTTAGATTCCCCCCTTTTTATGTAAGATTTCTGCTTATCCTTTCACTGTTTCCGTATCTACAGTGGGACAGACACATCAGAAATTCTCTTCTTCCTGACCCCTCCCCACTCCTGGCTGCCCTGCAGCCCTCAGCTTCCTGAGGGTGACAGCTGGGAGAAGCTGGGAGTAAAGAAATATGAACGCTCAAAGATGAGCCGGAAGGAAAAGGGGCTTCCCCAGACAGGGCTTTCCCTGCAACTATCCCTGGGACAATGACATTAGGTCACAAAATCCACACAGAAAGACTTCCTGGTAAGGTGGGAGACAGAGCATGGTACATGTGTTTCCATGCTGGGTGCTGTTACCTCAGCAGCAGGTGCAAGTTGTCGTGCCTCTCAATCTGCTCATACTTCACAGAAAGGATCAGGTAGCCCAAGGTTGTGTCATTGGAGTAAAAGTTCTGATGCTCCTAAAAACAGGAAGTCAGAGAAGCTCATTCTCCCAAGGTACCACCAGATAATACCTACGCTATTGTCAGTCTCCCATAGTCCCTGAGAAGATACCCCTTCACCATTGGGTGTCTTTCCCACCATCCTCATCATCTCATGCTCACACGTTGATCTGGATAGGCTGTGAACATGATAGAGATTTTCAGGACATTCCTGGAGCATAGCTATTCCTGGAGCATAGCTTCCTCCTTCCCAGGTCCCCTTTGAGGACAGAACCTGGGCTGCACAGCACCAAAAGCAGAGGCCTCTAACACTGTGATCTGAAGGAGTAACTCCGTTGTGAGTATGCTGCAAGCTCTTACTGTTGCTGGTGCTGGTGCTATCCACTACAGGAGTTATGATCACTGTGAAGATTTCTTGACCCCAAGCTCACTAATACATGTTTCAGCAGTGAACCAAGGAGATCTGTTGGGCTGATCAGAAGAAGGGAGTGCTTAGCGTACAGTGACTCAGTAGTACTGCACTTCAGATGCTTGCTACAGTTGTGCAATACTCCACTCTTGCACATTTTGCAAACTCATTGGGACTATGAATCTCTGCTATACCAGACCAGTCATCCCACATGAGAAGAGGGGAAAGCTCTTACTGCTGCTTGGAGGGGGTAAGAGTCATATCAGGCTAGCAGTGTCATCTACAGCTAAGCCAAAGATCAGATCCAGCATGTATCTAGCTATGTGGGTGGCTCTGGAAAAACTCTCTGGTTACTCTAACAGATATGGGGTTAACGGTGGCATACCCAGCACTTCGAAAGACTCTCAAGATAATAAATTTCAGTCTCCAGAATCAGATTCAGAACAACATCTCCTTTCATTCAGACAAGAAGCCTCTGGTGCGGGGTCTGTATACTAATATCATTCCTACACTGGCCTTGTCTCTGGTCTCACACACCAGATGAATTTGACTTCTGCCTCAATGAGGCCTCTTCTGCAGTGGAGACCAGATGCACACATTTTCCCCCCTGTCTGTGGGCTTGTATTGCAAGGGGTAGTCTGTTGAAATAAGCTGAGCCAACTCTGGTTTAGGCACCTGGTCTCCAGAACCGATCATGGTTTTGTTGACAACTGATTATGAGGTGGTCAGCATGATCATGAGATCCACCTGGTGACGCCCAGTACCCCAGAGGAGCCAGTTCAGGTAGAGCCTGTGGGACAGCTAATAAATGCCCATGCTTTGAACCTCACCTGGAGGCTGGTCTCTGCTTCCATGTGTTCCCATACCTGTCATAGCTGGAAATGGCAAGATCAAGGAGTACTTGGCCCCAATCCTGTGTAATACATTGGCTTAGTGCATGCGATTATCGCTCTCACTCTCTCGCTATAACAACTTGTTACTGAGAGCTACTAAAGTTTGTCCTTTAGCTCATCTGGCAGGCCTTCTCCATTTTGTGCTGAAGGGCCTGGGTTTGATCCCCACGTCCAGCTGAGTGTCTGTATGTGGTGGTCACCATGATTCATTACAGTTGTTTCCCTTCCATCTCCCAAGATCTGTCTGTGTCCAAAAGTCTCAGCAAAAGATCCCCTTTATATTCAACAGATCTGAGACCTCTTTCTTTTCTAGCACACTGGACACTACACAAGGCGCAAAGGGGCACCCCTGACGTAGCTCTGACTCTAAGTAGCACATTGCTGGGTGTGTAGTGGGACACATCTTATTTCATTATTTTTGGCACTGGGGAGGTGTGGGATCTGGGGGGGAGGAGGTGAGGTCACCCCAAAATCCCTCAGGAGGCCCTTGGGATACAGTTTAGCCATGGAGTGGAATGAGAGGCTATGGGGTTCCCCCTTACCTTCCCCAAGAAGTGCTTGCGGTACAGCTTGGCCGTGGGGTCGCACTCTAGCTTCACTTTACTGCTGCAGGGGGAAGGCAGGTCATGCAGAGCTGAGGTCGATCTGGGGAGGCCATGGCAGGTTCCTTCAATCCAATAGCCCCCAAACTGGGGTAGGATAATGAGGGGGTATGGCCACCCTTTCCGTAACACCTGTCCCGAGAGACAGAGGCATTGCTTTGTGAGATCAATAACATTACTGAGGTGGAGGAAGAGACTGAGCAGAGCAGAGCCAGCTGTGACTCACCTCATGGATGCTGGGGTATGGGATATACTCCTCTTCTCTCTGAAATCACAAGGGACCAGAGACGTGAGGGAGCCTTTATAGTACCATCTTCACTTGGTAACCCAGGCTGCGTGTCCTCCACCGCCACTCCTCCCCATCCAACCCTACTTCTTTAGAGTATCTAGGTTAGGGTGCATTTCATAACACACAAAAACTTCAGCAAATAAACTCCAGGGGCCAGATTCCACTCCCCCGCCCCAGCTGCACATGGCACAGTCAGGCAAAAATAAAGTAACCAAATTGTGAGCCAGATTGAGGCAAATTAAGCCATGTGTGGCCTGACAGCCTTAGTCCTTTGTTCCATGCCAAGAAGAGTGTTGGAGTGGTGCCATGTTGCTGCATAAAGGGACAGCATGCAGGGACACCTGGGGATGGGGGACAGTGTTTATGCAAGTAGGGTAGAGCTGAGTGCACTGGTATCATTCCTGCATCCTGGGAGCAGGAGGGGTGTCACTTAAACCAGCGTGCAGATGGTCAAAGCTACACTCCAGGGTGTAGTTGAGGCTCCAAGGATGCTCTGTGAGGTGGAGAGCCATTTGGAGAGCCTGCAATCCCTGATTAGAAGAGGTGACCAGCTCCCAGATAGGGCAGCTCTACCCCTGCTCTCTGAACAGCACTATTACCAAATGAGTGATTATGCTGACACTAAGGGGGCTCTGTGCCATGGAACAGTAGAGGTAGGTGCCTGCCAGATGCCCATTCTCACAATGCTAGGCACACTGAACTTTCTCCCCATCTTTCCTCCGACACCATAAAACAGGGCCCCAGTGCAGTGAGACTCCATTTTCTGACAGTGAGGGTGGCTGATGCACAACTGCAGGGGCTGCTGAGGCTGTGTAAGAGGATTGGGGGAGAACCCTATGTCGATCCACTTTAATGTTCTTCTAGCCCCCTCCCTTTAATCACGCTTGCCATTGACACGCTCCTCTGTCCTACACACATCCCGCCCACCTTGCTTCCTTGTGGGTTATTTTGTTAGCTCACCAGGTTAGAGCACCAGAGCAGAGACAATAGAAAAAGGGAGAGAGAAAGGTCAGAATTTGAAAAAATGGGACCCAGTTCTTTGTTGGCCAATTAGGTGAGAGTCATGGACTTATTAGGAGGAGCTAGTCAGATTTCAGGTTGACCAGGTGGCACTCACCCTATGCCCTTACAGGTTCTGGACTCACGATGCTTACTGAAAGATATGTGACTCAGTATAAGTTTCTCTTATAAATGTTATTAAAACTTAAACTAAAATAAAAGCAAGGAAACATCTCACCAGAGCTACGCTATAATTAATAATATGAAAGCGACTGATTGAATCTGCTTGGATTTTGAGAACCCTGATAAAAACACAAAGACTTGAGTTACAAATACAAGACTCCTCACCCCTCAAGAAGGCTGAGGAAGGGCAAGCTGCAAGTAGAAACACTTTATTTGTCATTCTCAATAATATATGAGGCACCAAAGACCTAACCTGACCTTGAGCGGAGTTGGGAGAGAACATCTTTGCTCATCCAGACGACTCCCCTGGAAACACAGAGACAAAGATAGTAAAACCTCACATAGCAGCATGTCTGTTTTCTCTCCCCACTGCCTCACACCCCATGCCCCAGGTTGTGTATTTGAGGAGATCCTTCAATGCTCCCCCTCTAATCCACTGCTTTTGGAGATGTTGTGGGGGAGGTGTGACACTATATGATTAAAATATGACCATGTAGATCATTGTTGCTACCACAATTATACAATTGCAACAAATCTTATACAAAGTATGCCGTGTAAGGTGTCAATGGAAAAGTTATTGTTCGCTGAATATGATTATCCTGTTTGTATGCGTGCATCATTTTTGTATCTGAAGTTATGTACCAGTCTTTCAAATGTGTTTACTCCTGGGATAACAGCCAAGTTTGCATCCAGTCTGGCCAGCTGTGACGGAGTAAGGAGTTGGGAATATTAACCTGGTAATGTTGCATGGGAGTTTTACTAGTTTACTGTCTGCATTAATGACTTCACTGAGGGATGATACTTGATGGCCAGCACTTAACCTGAGCCCAGGAGGGGGTTGGGGCCAGGTGACACATTCTGCCTGGGAAACTAAACAAAGGCTGGAGGAGGAGCCAGGGTGTGTGGTTGGGTGAGACTGCTGGAGGGAGTTTTAGTTTGGAGCTGGCTGGAGAGACGGGGGAGGCCCAGAACCTGGGTCTGGGCTCCCCACCCCCCAAGATGGACCTGACTGAGGGGTCCTGTTTTCTGTACCTACAAGCTCTGTTTTAGACTGTGTTCCTGTTGTCTAATAAACCTTCTGTTTTACTGGCTGGCTGAGAGTCACGGTGAATCACAGGAAGTGGGGGATGCAGGGCCCTGACTCCCCTACACTCCGTGACACCAGCACATTGTGAAAGGACGATTCAAGTTGGTGGCCCATCAAAGAACACTTAGCTCTCAGAATGGATATAGAAGAAGCTCGTCTCCACCCCATGGCCCTTCCTGAGTATGGTTTAGCCAGAATATGGGTAATGTATCCTGCTATCGAAGCATACAAGGGTATGTGACCCTGGACTCCATCTTAAGAACAGAAGAACATAAGATCAGACTGGGTCAGACCACAGGTCCATCTAGCCCAGTATCCTGTCTACCAACAGTGGCCAATGCCAGGTGCCCCAGAGGGAGTGAAACTAACAGGTAATGATCAAGTGATCTCTCTCCTGCCGTCCATCTCCACCCTCTGACAAACAGAATCTAGGGACACCATTCTTTACCCATCCTGGCTAATAGCCATTAATGGACTTAACCTCCATGAATTTATCCAGTTCTCTTTTAAATGCTGTTATAGTCCTAGCCTTTACAACCTCCTCAGATAAGGAGTTCCACAAGTTGACTGCGCCGTGTGAAGAAGAACTTCCTTTTATTTGTTTTAAACCTGCTGCCTATTCGTTTCATTTGGTGACCCCTAGTTCTTGTATTATGGGAATAAGTAAATAACTTTTCCTTATCTACTTTCTCCACATCACTCATGATTTTATATACCTCTATCATATCCCCCCTTAGTCTCCTCTTTTCCAAGCTGATCTCTTTTCCAAGCTGATCTCCGCTTTTCCAATCTTGTACCAGTACTTTTCCATAAACTAAGTCTGAGAGCTTTTCCCTCCCCTGGGAGAAAGTATAAAAGGCCCTGGAAGAATCTCCATTTTGCCTCTTTCCTGCTCTGATCTCTGGACTATGGACTTAACCTAACAAGAGCATTACAAGCAATGGACTGAGGACCTTCCAATCTTTTGGCAGTTACCGGTGACTGTACAAGACAGCAGTTTATTCCATCACTGCTTCAGGGCTGATACATACAAGAACTTTGCAATGAGTGTATTTCATTCTTTTAACCATTTTAACTCTCTCCTCTTTCTTTTCTTTTATAAATAAACCTTTAGATATTAGATACTAAAGGAATGGCAATAGCGTGATTATTGGGTAAGATCTGAGTTGGATATTGACCAAGCTGTGTTGCTGATCTCTTGGGATCTTTCTGACTTCTTGTTAACCAGTTTGGTGAAACAGAAGTTTACTTTTGTTACTGGCTTGGTATATCTTATGGATGAATAACCACCAGTTTGGGGTGGACGCCTTATTTCTCAGCAGTTTGTCCTGAATCTGGCATCCTCAGCTGTAACTCACTGGGGTACAGTTACAGGAGGATCGCAGGGAAGACTGTAGGTGGAGAGAAGGGTGATATGGGGAGAAAAAGTTGACACTTGCCTGCCAAAAGGCCAGAAATTTGGGGTTAAAACTAACACAACCCCAACTTCCATCCCACAGAATGTAGCACTTCTGGTCAGAGAGCAGAGAGATGTGCTCCCAGCCAGCATCTCTCACCTCTAACTCTCCAATCCCTCCACCTGCCTTTCTGCCCACTCCAAACAAGTGGGAAAGGGGGAAAAGAAAGTCAAAGAATGGAGTTCAAAACTTACATTCCTTTCTTACTTCCCCCTTTCCCACAAAACTTTGCCAGGGTGGCATCCCTTTGACGCAGAGACTGCCTCAGACTTTACAGCAGTGAAGAGTGAGCCCTGAAATGCTGATTCTCTCAGTTGAGATAAGCAGCCAAAATTTGCTTTGGGGATTGAGGCTCAGAGACTTTAAGTTCAGAAGGGAACATTGTGATCATCTAGTCTGACCTCCTGCACATTGTAGGCCAGAGAACCTCTCTCCCTCACTGGGACAAGAACTGTCTTTTCCTCATGAAATGGACAGTCCATCTTACTCCCTTCCAGGTCATGGAATTAATCCATGTTCTACAGATAACAGACACAATTGTTAGTTGAATATCACACACACATACAAGGAGCCAGAAGTAGACAATCCCAACATGGAGGTGAACTTCACATTTAAATCAGGCTCATAAACAGTAAAGTAAGCCCTCAGAGTGGATCTCCAACTATCCCTGTTTTCCCCTCGCTTCCTGTATAAAGAAAGATGTAGCAGATAAAATCAAGCTCACACAATTCTCAGGAGTGAGACAAAATATAACACTGGAAGTCAGGGGAGAAAAAAGAAAGTCTGCTGTAGCATTGAATGGCCACATAGTAGCACCAGAGAGACATCAGTAACAGCAATGATAATGAATGACATTTCTCCAGCTCATGTCCAATAGAGCCATACATAAATAGTTTCTTGTAGCACCCCCAAAGTTCTGGTGCTGTACAGACATATAGAAAAGCACAGACCCTGCCCCAAAACTCCCACAATCTAAAAAGGCAAACAGAAAAAAGGAAAGAGTGCACCAAAGTGCCAAAGGTGATGAACAACACAACTTGATAATGTAGATGTTTCTGGGATAGGCCTGATTTTCCTTCTCTCTAGCCATCCTTAGCTGGCTAATTTCTTCTAGACATCACAGAAGAAGGACTTTAGGAAGGACTTGACCATGGACAAGAGAGTGGCTTTGAGAATGAGCTCCAGGAGGGTGCTCATGTACAAGGAGCAGTGTGGAAGAAGACATTGAGATGGTTGTGGGAGAAGCAGACAAATGGGATGCTGATGTTGGCATCATTGCAGATGGGGTGAAGGTGGCAGATGAGAAGGGAGGGCAAGGTTATGCAGGCTCTTGAAAGGAAGGCTCATCTCATTTTGGTGACTGAAATCAGATTTACTTGATTTTTACTCCTGTTAGCCCTGCAGAGCCAGCACAGCTCAGAGACCATGAGCTGAAGTTTATCCTACCTGTGCATTAGCCATGGAATTGGCAAGTTCCACCTGTGCAAACTCATTGAAGACAGTGGAGTCACACAGTGGAGTCATGGCAGGGTATTCTGGCAGTGATGATGTTTGAAATGGAAAAAAGCCTAGCTTCATTCTCAGATCCCAGAGGTGTATACATAGCCATAGGCACTTTTATCACTAAAACTTTTGTTTTAGTTTTGTGAAAAAACACCCCCCGAACAACAAAAGTTTTAGCAATGAAAAGCACCGGTGTGGACAGCACTTCGGCGGCAGGAGCTGCATTCCCATCGACAAAGCTACTTCCCCTCATTGGGGGTGTTTTTATTTAAAGAGTTGCCACACAGCGCACCTTACAAGGGCACAACTACGCCGTTATAAGGTGTGCTGTGTAGACATAGCCTAACTCAGGCTTTGTGAATCACAATGTTGTTCCTATGATTTTCTAAATGCCTAAAAGTTAGGCGTTACAATGCTTAGCCCTGGTCTACACTACAAACTTATGTCAGTATAACTACGTCGCTCAGGGATGTAGATTTTCCACACCTCTGAGCGATGTAGTTATACCAACTGAACTTCCAGTGTAGACAGCGCTATGTTAATGGGGGGGCTTCTCCTGTCAACATAGCTACTGCCTCTCAGGGAGGTGGAGTACCTACGCCAATGGGAAAGCTTCTCCCATCAGCATAGGTAGCGTTATCACTAAGGGCTTGTCTACATTACCCGCTAGATCGACGGACAACGATCGATCCAGCAGGGGTCGATTTATCGCATTTAGTCTAGACGCGATAAATTGACCGCCGAGCGCTCTCCTGTACTCCACCAGGACGAGAGGCGCAGGTGGAGTCATTGGGAGAGTGTCAGCTGTCGACTTACCACACTGAAGACACTGCGGTAAGTAGATCTAAGTACGTCAACTTCAGCTGCGTTATTCACATAGCTGAAGTTGCGTAACTTAGATCGATCCCCTCCCAGTGTAGACCAGGCCTAAGTGATATAATGGCACAGCTGCACTGCTGCAAGTGTAGACAAGCCCTGAGAGTTACAATGCCTATGTCCCTTTTTGGATCCAGGCCACTATCAACAGTGCTGCATAATACACTATTATTACTTAATATAGCTCAATACTTTGCACCTGGAAACATCATAAATATTACGTCAGTTTATGGGACAATTAGTTTCCAATTTAACTTGTACTTTTCCATTTAGAAAAGGGCTGATAGCTGAAGGTCAGATTTTGCCACCTTTACTCGCACTGAATCATTCCTTACTCTGCAAATAATCCCAGTAACACTGTTCACAGAGTAAAGTGCTACTCGTCATGCACGAAGGTGGCAGAACCTGCCCCTTACAGCTCAGAGGTGTATACATATAAATACTGCACACAACTTCTCACTCACTAAGGGCTAGCATGTACCTTTAATTACAGCCCTGAGTATGGGATGGCACACATAGATGCAGGAGAAGCACTGGGAAGAGAAGCACAATTCTTCTCTGAATTCCCCTCTTCTGTTGGAGCAGGGAGTTATTTATTATACTGTGTTTCAGGGTACAGCATCTTCTCCCTTACGGCCTAGCCAGCTCTGTTGCCTAGGCAATTAGATTGTAAGTGCTTTCGGGCAGGGTCTGTCTTTTTGTTCTGTAAACCACAGCACCCAGCACACTGGGGTTGTGATTTACAACTGGGGCTCCTAGGTACCATGGTAACACAAATAACAACATATGTGGAGGCGGAGCCACCCAGTCCCTTCCCCTCCCCTACTTGCAGGGAGTGTACTGGAAGTGCAACCCCTGCTCCCCCTGATAATGCTGCACCAGCTAAGCAGTAATCCTTACTATTCACAACCATCAAGTAAAGCAGTTTCCCAAGGGCCATCCTTCTAATACAGCCACCCTGATAGTCTATCTCAATGAAGTACCCTTAAAAATCACCCTTAAAAATATATAAAGGGCAGAATTAAGGTTTCACATTAACTTTGGCATTTTCTGACATTTGAATGCTGAACTCTGCACCCTTAATGTTCTCTAAGGGACATATATTTGCATTTAAATTAACTGTGGGTGTACCCCCAGATTGTTGAGCCCCTGAACCTGAGGGAGGCGACAGTGAAGCCACACTACCAGAGAGTCAAAGGGGGCTGGGTAGAGCCAGGAGAGCCAAGACTAGGAGAGCAGACCATGCTGGCCAGGATTGAAGGGCACAAGTGAAGATGCTGTGAAGGTGCAGGGACAGGACAGGAATAGGAGCTGACAATTATCAGTTACCAGAAATTAAGGATCCCAAAGTTTGATTGAATAACTGCTCCTCACCTGCATTTTTTCAATCATTTCAAACAAATCCACAGTCTGTGAAGAGAAAAGGATGACATAGAAAGAGATCTGACATTTCTATGAGAGAGAATGTCATCTGCAGTAACACCAGCTATGACAAAAATAATAAGGGTCCTCATGCTTCAGGGCAGAAATTATTCATCTGCTGAAGTCAGGAAGGAATCCCTCTCCCTACATGGATGGCACAGTATTGAACAACTGGCCAGGTGCATTGTTTTCACCTTGCACTGTTAAAGGCAGAATAGCAGCCGGATCTGGTATTGGATGAGCCAGGATTCTGGACTACATGGACCATTAGTTGCATCTGAGTGGCCAAGATAATGGCCTGCTCTGTTATGTCAAGAGATGGGAGTTAAACTAGATGGACCAGTTTTTAGGGCACTCACTGAGAAATACATATCTGTGCCCACAATACACACACACCCACTGTTCTAATGCACATTGCCTGCCTCTCTCCCCTGTTCTCAGATGCTCTAGGTATATTCCCATTCTGGACAGGGAGGATGCAGCTCCTTACCTTGTTGTGAACAGCAGAGGTAAGTGCAGTCTGGGGGTCCTGGACAGGAGAGTCTAGGATGTCACTGATACAGCGCTCCACTTCATCAGATCTCCTGAAGGGAGACAATTGCCATTAACCCTTATAGCATCCAGGATGCCAATACTCATATACAGTCTCTCCAGTGGTTCTCCCTGCCACTGGATCCCTCTCTGCCCATCTGTACCAGCTCCCTGACAGTTCCCTTCCCTGTGGATATACATGCTCGGCCAAACCACTTCTGTGCTCCAGGCTCCTGATTCAATGGCTGGGTTGCAGCGACAAGACGGGTAGGTCCTAGATGGAACAAATGCTGGGAAGCGGGAAGGGGGGAGGGTTTCCAACAGGGGGGGACAGGACCCAGGACTAGCCTCTGAACTATTAAAAAGAAGAACAGGAGTACTTGTGGCACCTTAGAGACTAACAAATTTATTAGAGCATAAGCTTTCGTGGACTACAGCCCACTTCTTCGGATGCATATAGAATGGAACATATATTGAGGAGATATATATACACACATACAGAGAGCATAAACAGGTGGGAGTTGTCTTACCAACTCTGAGAGGCCAATTAATTAAGAGGGGAAAAAAAAAAAACTTTTGAAGTGATAATCAAGCTAGCCTAGTACAGACAAATTGTAAATGACTGTTTAACTTACATGTTGTTTTTCTGCTTAGTTTGTAATGGCAAT